ATAAACAATGTATGTATGTACATATAATGTATATATACTCCATCTAAAATATAAATATATATGTGTACACAAATACAAACGTGAAATGGACAAAGAAGAGGAGAGGTAAAGATGAAGAGGAAGATGATGAAGAGAACATGAAGATGAACGTAACTAGCGGTGGCAGTGTAATGTTTCTCTCTTCTATAGAATTGCACTGGAAGCAAAATGGAGGTTGCTTTTTTTTTTAGCTATATATGATGAAAAGTAAAGTGGACTAGCATGAGCCAATGACGATGTTGGATAATGGACAGGTGTGGAGAAGGTGTATGGTCTTTTGACGTTAGGCATGCTGGGAAGAGAGGAGAAGGTCTATAGGTGAGTGAAAATAGGAGAGGGTTTAGGTCAACCTTTACTTTTTGGGATAATGAAACTGAGTGGCTATTGAGAGCATTATAGGAATTTTATTGGAGGAAAGGAGGGAAGTTTGGGGGGAGGAACATGGTGGCAGGGAGCATGAACTGTTGATAGCTATGGGAGGAAGCATAAGGGGCAATTATTCGGTGATCACCGAGAAGAAGGGAGAAGCGATCAGGTACAATCTTTGTTCCAGTGGGATCTCAGGCTGGGGGATGGTGGAGGATGATGGTGGTGCTGTTTGAAATGATGGGAGGAGTGTTTGAGGTATTTGAGTAGTAGAAAAAGGTAAAATTGAGCACCAAAGAGGAGGAGAGTTGCCCGGTGGTGGAGCAAATGATTGTTCCCTACTCTCTGTGGTGCCCGAGTTGCAATATGGAGTTGGTAGTCAGGCTAGAGTTTAGAAGAGGGAATAGTTCCGCTGAGGTCGTGAGAGAAGGAATAGTTCTGCTGGGGTCGAGAAGGGAAACGGGTAGGGAAAAAGTGACTAGATTTCAAGATGGCTTGGGTTTTAATTTAAATTTCACCAAATTATAGGAGAGGGACATCGTTTCAAGAGAAAAGAGGTGATGAGAGGGCCTTGACCCAAGGAGCTTATGAAGAAAGCTGAGGCCATAAAGAAGACGAAATTTACATGGGCTGAGAAGGGGAAGTGGATAAAATAATTGGATTGGGTCCAAAAGCATATATGCACCTGTGACCAATGCGTGCTTGGAGTGAACAGATTTGAGAATAGGGGAAGAGGAAGAAAATTGTGATCGACTTAAAAAGAGGAAGCATGTGAGGGAGTTAGATATGGCTTATGACAATGAGGATAGTAACAAAGAAAGAGGGGAGAGTAGTTGAAGGAGAGACGAAGCGGAAAAGAGGGAGGAGACACCAATAGGGGTGGAGAACCACAAAGGGGCGTGCAACAGGGTGAGGGCTAGGGCGGGTCCACTACTGCTTTGCCACTGGCACTGATTTCAGCTGAGAGTATCGTAGATGAAGAGAAGTTTGGGAGGAGGGAACAATTGAATTGCAGTTGATAACACAGGTGGAAGGGGGTGTAATGATGTCAGCGAGATTGGGGGGAGGAATGAGGAAGACAATTCTTAGTGGGTGCTTCAAAATATTCAACATATTAGCAAAATACTCAGAGTTAGCTTTGATGGACTTGATGAACATACCGTGACATTATTTATAGAAATTGGAAGAAGAGGAAAGAATAAGGTGAGGGGCGTCGACCAAAGCTCTCGGGAAAAAACAAACATGGAGTAGAAAAATTAAGGAAGTTGAGAAGGTTGCATTCAATGGTGAATTATGATAGCTCGAGGAAGGAGGAGAAGAAGGGTGAGACAGTGATTTTAAAACTAATGCAATGTTAGGAAAAATTATATTTTGAAATGTTAGGGGGATTCAATGATCACAAGAAGAGATCAGTTATTAGGGGTTGTATGATGGGGTGGAAATATGAAGTAGTTTGTCTGTAGAAAACAAAGGCAAGTTCCTCTATTACTAGTATGGCTTGAAGTATTTGGAAGATTAGGGAGATTGGATGGAGGGAGCTTCTTACTATTGGGTTTACTGGTTGGACTGCCATTTTATAGAATGATGATGTACTCGATTGCCTTGAGGTAGTACTTGGGCTCTACTTTATTTCTTGTCTCTTTGAGGGTAGAAGGAAAGGATGGAGGTGGGTGTTTACGAGATGTATGGTAGAGGTGAGGATAGGGAAAGAGTCAAAACTATGGGAGGATTTGGAGGGGTGTAGAAGGAAATGAGATCTCCCATGGGTCGTTAGGGTGATTTTAATATGGTCATGCGAAGACAAAAAATATCATATGAACATTTTTGTAGGACTTGTGCTAATGAAGTTTGTGAAACCTTAGACATGATACATTTGATCGATTTGCCCTTGGTTGGGGGTAAATAAACATGGTCTAATCAGAGGTCAAACCCGATATGTGACAAGATTGATAGACTTTGTGTTTGTGAATTGTCAATTTTTGCGTATTTGTCAGAAACTTTTGAGCACACCATCTCAAGCAACTTCCCTATTTGTTTAGACTCTACAAAATTAAATGGGGTCCATGTCCTTTTAGGTTTGAGGACAAATAGCTTAAGGTCATTGGATTTAGGAAAAAAAATAGAGACTGATGGAACGAAACAAGAGTGAAAGGGAACGCAAGCTATAAGGTAGCTAAGAGACTTCAGGCAATCAAGATTGAAATATAAATATGTTACAAAGAAGAGTTGGAAGGAGGGGGAGGAGAGTGTTCTCACTCAATCCTTATTTTAGGACCTTGGGGACTTGATCGTTTGGAGGGGAATGTGTTTTATTCACTGAATACTTGGCACCCGTGGAGTCCATTCGCCTTGAATTGGCTAACATACTGTAGATGAATGATATTTCTTGGAGATAGAAGTTAAGAACTAGATGGATAAAGGAGGGTAATAGAAACACAATTTTTTTATTGTATGACTAAACATCACATAATAGTTAATTATAGAAACTGATGGCAAGGTGGTGAAAGGGAATGAGGGGTTGAGGAATGGAGTCAAGTCTTTCTTTTAGTAAGCTCTATGAGGAGGACTTTTGTTGGAGGCCTAAGCTAGATGACTTGGACTTCTTGACCCTACATGAATAGAGTAATTGCATGCTTGAATAAAATTTTTTTGAGGAGGAGATCCTGGAAGGCTTTATGCAAATGTAGTAGGAACAAAGCACCTAGGCCATTTCCAGAATTTTTGACATGTTGTTAAGGGTGACATTGATGACTTATTAATGAGTTCCATGAGATGGGTTCCTTCATAAAAAGCTTAGACTCCACTTTTCTGGTGCTTATACCCAAGATTTAATGGGTGACTAGTATTAAGGATTTTAGACCCATTAGCCTTGTAGGTTGTGTCTACAAGCTTATTGGAAAAATATTAGCAAGAAGAATGGCGAAGGTGATGAAGAGCATAGTGGGGAATGGTAACATGCTTTTGTGGAGGGAAAACATATCCTAGATGCAGCCTTAAGAGCCAATGAGATTGTGGATGAGCTTAAATACAAGAATTTAGAATGTATGTCGTGCAAACTCGATATGAAGAAAATCGAAGATCATGAGAACTGGAGCTTTCTCGATTACATGTTGGAGAGAATGAGAGTTGGAGGCAAATGGTGCAAATGGATAATTTTTTGCTATGAGGGTCCATTAGCTATCTTCAAAACTAACTGTGGTCTCAGGTAATATGACCTATTGTCTCCATTATTATTCATCATAATTATGGAAGCTCTTGATGCATTGCTCTTGATATGGAGATGGAGATGTTAAAACGATTGGAGGTGGTACTGGTGATCAGGCGATGGAGGTGACTCATTTGTTCTTTGCTGAGTGATACTTTGATCTTTTGTTAATCGAATGAGACGATCGTATTCAACCTTAGATGTATCCTTGTGTTCCCAAGCTATTTCAGACTTCAACATTAATCTTGCTAAATCTAAGCTGGTGAGATGGGAGAGATGTAAGTAGATTAGGTAGCGTTTTGGGTTACAGGTGTGTGCATTTGCCGATTAAATATCTAGGATACCATTGGGAGCCAAATATAAAGAAGTATCGTTGTGAATCCTGTGTTGGCTAGGATTGAGCAGAGACTGACCAGGTTGAAGAGAAACTTTCTTTTAAAGGGAGGAGGCTCAAGCTTATCAGACACACTATGTCCAACATCCCAATCTATTATATGTCCTTATCGGCAATCCCAGGAAGCGAGGCTAAAAAATGGAATCACTCCAATGTAAA